TGGGAGGCAAGCACTCTACCTTTGAGCCACCTTCCCAGCTCTCACCCTCACTTTTGTTTTTTCTTTTTTGGTCAGTTGTGGGACTTGAACTCTGGGCTTGGGCACTGTCCCTTTGCTCTTCAGCTCAAGGTTAGCGCTCTATTGCTTGAGCCACAGCGCCACTTCCATTTTCTAGTGGTTTATTGGAGATAAGAGTAACTAGGATTACAGGCGTGAGCCACCGGCGCCCGGCCCTCACCCTCACTTTTTAAGAATCCTCAGATGAAAAAAAAGTTAAAGCAAAAAAAAAAAATTCTCAGATGCCATGCATTGGTGGCTCATACTGGTAAGCCTAGCTACTCACAATCTGAAGATTGTGGTTCAAAGCTAGCCCAAACAGGAAAGTTCATAATACTCATCCTCAATTAGCCACCTAAAACCAGAAGTCAAGCTGTGGCTCAAAGTGATAGAGCACTAGCCTTTAGCCAAAGAGCTCAGGGACAGTGCCCAGTCCTTGAGTGCAGGCCCCAGGACCAAAAAAAAGAATTCTCAGAGCTATTGGTCTTTATACAGTTCCCCGAAAACCCTGCTTGAAACACGTTCCTCTACAAGACGGAGGAGCCAAACAAAGACAACTGCCAGACAGCATTCCCATGGAGGCAGGGTAAGTGACCAGTCACGACCACTCTAGAATTCTACATAGGGTCCCGAGGTATGTTTCTGCTCTGGCTCCTACCTTGAAGGCAGAAGAACAGACTAGATTCATGGTGTTTTTACCCGTAGTCTATTGGCAGATTAGCCCATGTTCGAGCCAGTAAGAACCTGGAGGAACAGACACCTCGGACCCTGCTGAAGAATATCCTATTAACTGGTGAGCTCTGGTCTGCTAGTTAGGTGCTAGTTCAACACCAGTCCTATGGTAGTCTTCTCAGCTCCATCATCTTCCTGTTTCTGCAGCCCCAGAATCTTCCATCCTGATGCCAGAATCAGTGGTGAAGCCAGAACCAGCACTACAGGTGGTCCAGCCTTCCAGAAGGGAAAGCAGTCGGGGCAGGTGCACAGTGAACTCACTTATGAGCTACGTGTTGGACAGCTCTGGTCTGGGAGCTTCGTCAGGGGCCTAAATGGTTTCCTGGCCTGTCTGAGATAAACTGTGTCCTTACAGTCTGCAGCTGCAACTTCCTGAACTAGAGCCCTCCACAACACTAGCACCAAGTCTGCCAGCCCCTGGCAAGAGGAAGCAGAAGCTGAGATTGTCGTTGTTTCAACAAGAAGTAAATCAGGGGCTGCCTCTCCCTCAAGGTGAGGCATAGAACACTACCTGTTGCTGTCCTCTCTCTTCTGGTCTCTGGAGAGGTGGAAGATGCCCAAGAGAAGACTTTCATGGGCCTGGATAACTTACCATGATTTCTTCTTTTTTTATAACCTCTCACTGGTCACTGACAGATCCTGCAGGGAATGCTGATGCCTCATCACTTACCAGGTGCTATTACCTCTTTTGGGGGTTGATGGAACAGAGGTCTGGGAAGGGAGGAACTCACTGGGAGCCACACCAAAGAGATGAGATCCCCAGGATAGAAGGGGAATCCTTTGGCAAAAGTAGGCCTCAGGTACCTTACTTTCCTATGCTTCTTCCCTCACACCAGCTCCCTCAACCTGACATTTGCCACACCTCTTCAACCACAGTCAGTGAGGAGACCTGGTTTGGCCCGCAGACCTCCTACCCGAAGGGCTGTAGATATGGGTCTCTTGTTGCAAGATCTGCATGATAATTCCTTAGCCTTAGCTCCTCCAGGTAAGGTTGAAGTCTTCTCCATCCAACCTTTGGGGAAAACTATCCCCCTCCATGACAAAAAAGAGGTACAGCTGAGCCCAGGATTGTTCCTCTGTTGGTAGGGTCAAGGACAGCAGTCCGTACTTTTTTTTTTTTTTTTGTCAGTCGTGGGGCTTGAACTCTGGGCTTGGGCGCTGTCCCTGCACTCTTCAGCTCAAGGCTAATGCTCTACCACTTGAGCCACAGTGCCACTTCCGGTTTTCTAGTGGTTAATTGGAGATAAGAGTTTCACGGACTTTCCTGCCCAGGCTGGCTTTGAACCTCGATCCTCATATCTCAGCCTCCTGAGTAGCTAGGATTACAGGCGTGAGCCACCAGCGCCCGGCTAGCAGTCAGTACTTTAAGAAGTAGTTTCTGCTTTCTTTCCACAAGTGTCCCTGGCCTTAATGTCAGGTCTGTATCTTCTAGAACCTCATATTTTTGAGCTACAAAGCTGAGGTTAGTAGGAAAGGGGTGGAGTTTGGTGGCTAGGTTCATCATCAGCTAGCTAATTAGAATTGACCTGGGGGGCTGGGAAGGTGGCTCAGTGGTAGAGCGCTTGCCTTGCATGCCTGAGACCCTGGGTTCGATTCCTCAGCACCACATAAGCAAAAAAAAAAAAAAAAAAAAAGAATTGACCTGGGATCCTGATTGCAGAACACAAGTTCACCAGAGTAGGACAGTTCTGGGCAGGGGAGAAGTAGAGAGTAAAGGAATGGTAAATAGTTGGAGTGGGGATGAGAGGGAGAGCAAGCTGTAGAAATGCCAGGCCAAGGAGCAGGAAGGTAACATGGTCAGCTGTGGACAAGAGATAGATAAGTGCTGCCAGGCACCGGTGACTCACACCTGTAATCCTAGCTACTCAGGAGACTGAGATCTGAGGATCATGGTTCAAAGCTAGCCCGGGCAGGAAAGTCTGTGAGACGCTAACCTCCAATAAACCACTAGAAAACTTGAAGTAATGCTGTGGCTCAAGTGGTAGAGCCCTTGCTTTGAGGGATAGCACCCAGGCCCAGAGTTCAAGCCAACCAAAAAAGAGAGAGAGAGAGAGAAGTGGGGTTCAGAATCTTTCTCTGAAAGCCACAAAGGCAGGGCAGACCTGTAGAGCCCTCTATGTGGGCCCTAGAAACTCAGGGTTCAGCAGGTAGGCCTAGAATACACTGAGTTGCAGCCTGCTTTTCATCTCTAGGTGACAGTGTCAGAGCTGCTGTTGCTACTTTGCCAACGGATACAGTGTTGGAGGATACCCAGCCCTTCTCACAGCCCTTGGTTGGCCATTCTCCCAGTGTGTATCACTCCCGAGCCCACTCCTCTCACATTGGTACTGAAGATTCTGAGAGGGCTGCGGGTCATAGGACACACAGCATTGGGCCAGAGCTGCAGAACCACAGTGAGTATGTGGGGCAGGTGGTCTGGAGCCAAGGTTAGCTTAGGCAAGAGTTGGCACTGGTAGCTTTTCCTCCCAGATCCCATGTGTTTCCTAACTGGAATTCCTGGCTAGCAATTCCACTACCTAGAATCAGAATCAGTGTTGGGCCAAGAGGTTTCAAACCAGTTTCATGGTGCTGCCTCTGGCATGTTCTCTTCTCAGTGAGTGAGGCTGGCTTTACTTTGCCCTTCTCAGAGCTACAACCTTGGCCTGCTGCTTCTTCAGAGGTGTCAGAAGCAGAGAGATCCAAGGGGGCTGTGGAGGACAATGAGCCAGAAGGATCTATACAGAATGAAGACATTTCTGGCAGGCCAGGTAAAAGGCCCAGTGTAGGCATCAGCAGGTGGTTGGTGACTACTGTGTTAAGGCCCTGGCACATAGAAGGGGCTTGCCTGGGGATTGACTTGAGGATTGCTGGTATTAGTGGGGAAGAGAAACTCTGAAGAGCACTTGGTTGACTGGAGATGGGTAAAGCCCTTGACAAGGAGACTGGACCTGCATGGCTGACTGGGATGGTGAAACCTGGGTCCCCTGTGACCCTGCCTTTTCTCTACAGCAAGTCCAGAAATGGCCTCCAGCACCCCTGAGTTCCTCCAGGCCAAGCGATCCCGTCAGTTTCTTGAGCCAGCCCCAACACAGCCTGATGTTGCAGTGTAAGAACCCAGGATTCTGGGCCTCTTGGGAAGGGGGCTGCACTGAGGTTGACATTTGGCACTTTATGTCCCCCACGGATATGCAGATCACCCAGCACAGCAGCCTGAGCTGGGATACAGGGTGTTCCCCAATAACGTATTTGTCATCCTGAAGCCTACTTCCAGGGGCTTAGAGAAGGAAAAGGTATCTGGGTTAGTGTATAGTCAGAGAAGACTTCCTTGAGGATGATTAGTGGAATTGAGACAGGCAATGATAGATCCTAAAGGGGAGAGACTAGGCCAGGTGCTAAGGAAGAAGCAGAACTTCAATAGGGGCCTCCTCAAATATCAAGTCTACTTCTGCCCCCAGCTTGCCTCCAGAGCCTAAGGAGCCTGTACCAGCCAAACTTCCCCTCAGGCCCCGGACTGCTGGCCCCAGACGCCGTCAAGATCCTTACAAAGCTGGACTGAGCCACTATGCAAAACTCTTTAGTTTCTATGCCAAGATGCCCATAGAGAAGAAAGCTCTTGAGATGGTGGAGAAGTGGTGAGTGCATCTTGTACTCCTGGGTGGGTAGAGGAGCCTCTTAGGTTATGAACAGACTCATTCAGTTTGCTCTCCCTCAACCTCCATGGCAGCCTAGACAAGTATTTCCAGCACCTTTGCAATGATCTGGAGGTGTTTGCTGGTCATGCTGGCCGCAAGACTGTGACGCTAGAGGATTTGGAGCTGCTGATGCGACGGTAAGAGGGCAGAAAAGAGAAGCTGGGCAGGAGAGGGTGGAGGAGGGTGCTCATGCTAATGCTGGCTGCTCCTTTTTCTCTGCTGCAGGCAGGGTCTGGTCACTGAGCGAATCTCGTTGCATGTGCTTGTGGAGCGACACCTGCCCCTGGAGTACCGCCAGCTGCTCATCCCCTGTGCATTTGGCGGCAATTCTGTCTTCCCTGCTCAATGATGGCCAGGCCTCAACCTTTGCTCTGTCTGCACCAGGACCTTGTAATTCATATCGTTCTCCAGCTCTCTCCCCTCTTCCCTCTCCCCTAAGATCAATAAAGTATCACAAACAGAAATTCTGCTTTTTTGTACACGTCCTGGGGCCAGCCCAGATACCCCTTATCCCCCAGTCACTGACTTCCCAGCACAGCCTGGAATGAACAGTTTTATAATAAAAATGGAGTTATCACTGGAACACTCAGTGTTGCCCATCATGATCTAGCTTGTGGGCTCTGGCTCTCGAGGCCCCATGCGCTTGATGTCAGCAATGTGAAGTCGCTCCAGTACCTTCTGGAGCTCTACTGCACTGCTCTCTTCCTCTTCCTCCTCCTCCTCTTCCTTCTCTTTGTCCAAATCTGGCAGTTCTGACTCAGGAATCTGGAAGGCCTGGCTCAGATAGGCACTCAGTGTCTGTTTGTCTAGGCTGGGGTCAATGGTCATCAGGGCCTTTCGTAGCTTGGATAGTGTCACCTCCTGATTGCTGTCCCCCCCAAGGAAAGAGAGAGAGGCTTGAGCCCTCCAGTGCCCTCCTTTCTGCCCAGCTTGAGCAGTTTGTAGTGTCCAGCAGCATAGGTGGGCCTAAGATGCCACCCTGTGGGCAATTCAGTGATTGAGTGGGCCTGTGGGCTCCCAGGTAGGTCACTTACAGTTTCAGGCCCAGCTGCTGCTTTAGTTCCTGTAAGTATTCTTCCTTCTCAGCCATATACTGTTCCCACAGCTTTTGCACAAAGGGCTCACTCTGGCCCTCCTCACTCTGGAAGGGGCCACAAGGCAGGGTAAGGCCACATTGACTGGAGTCCAGTTAAGGTTAGGGTAAGGGTAGAGCAAGTTCCTGGGCCCCCATACCCACCTCCATAAACAAAAAAGGGTAATTTAACACATCTGCAATGTTGCCAACATGCCAGCCCCCTGCCTCCATCAGCTCCTGAATTGCATCGTCCTTTTTGAGGGGGAAGGTGGTCTTAAGAATGTTGCTGTGGAAGGAGACACAATAAGTCAACAGGAACCTGGTTGAGGGTGTCCACTCCTCTCTCCATCCCCTTTTGGGACGGGGAGAGGAAATCGCAACTAGTGTTCAGAAGGACTGAGCTCTGGGGCTTTCTTTTTCCCTGCATACCTGGGGGCCAGGCCAGTGGAGATGGTGGGCTGGAGTTTGGGATGGCCTGGACTGGCCTCTTACCTGAACTGCTCACTGGTTAGTAACCCTTCATTTTGACTGTCAGCATTCTTCATCTCCTTTTGCAGCTGGGCTACTGTATCCCTGTAGTTGGTATATACACTCTCGGACATCTACAGGGAAGGATGTATATTCACTAATGTGCTGCTTCCTGGATTAGTGGGTGCAGAGCTGGCCTATGCTGGGATTAGAGGTCCTTTTTGTCTCCTTAAGTGGAACAACCAGGGGCCAGGCTCACCTTGCCCATCAAGACTGCATAGAACTGACTCATGACCTCATTGGTACGGAAGAGCTTGATATTTTCAAAAATGGTGTAAGCCCAGGCTATGGCCTCACTGGGCCCAAAATGATGCTCCAAGAAACTGATGAAGAAATCTTGGAACTTCTTTTTCTGTAGGGAGAAATGCTTGGTCAGCTTGCCAGAGTTGGCTCTCCTTACTTCCTAATCCCTTGAGTTGACCCCCACATTCCCGAAGAACTCTGATCTGAAGGCCTTCCTAGACCAAAATGACTAGAGAGAGAGCTGACCTCATCTGTGAGCCGTTCCTTCCAGGCATCCTTGAGGAGTTTTACCACAAACTTTTTAGTTGGCTTCTTGTTCTCCACATTGCCTTCACACTGAAGGAAAACAGGGACATCTTCCCCATAGCCCTGGAAGGCAGAGTATCAGCTCTGTGTCCCCACCTCCAAACACAGAAGAACCCCAGGTGGTCTCCCCAAAAGCTTATCTCCTCATTCGCAAGGTCTGTGGGCTCTGGCTCTGGGTCTCTGCCTCCCACTCAGGGACTCCCCTACCAGACCCTGGAAGAAGTCTTTCTCTCGGAGCAGGCCCTCGCCAATTTCCTCCAGGAGTATATCCACCAGCTGGTCACTGTTCTTGCCCTCTGCCAGTATATGCCACCGTTCTGAGCCCCCAGCCACCACATCTGCAAGTGGGGAGAGGGAGCTAGAGTCCAGGCCAGGCCATTCAGTAAGCCCTGGATCCCCAATGGCAATAATTACTTTCACACTTGGTCCAGTCAGGTCGGGGTGTAGAGGTGCGTTGGATCTCTTGCAGCTCAGCTGAGAACTGGTCTCGCTCCTTCAGCGTCATCATGTGTGACTGCAGCAATAACTCATGTTCCTTGCACACCTCCTCATAGTCGGCTTTCAGGCTATCCAGCTGTAGGCAAGGTGGATGGATCCTGGCTACCCACTGGACTGATCCTGCCCTACCTACCATGTCTAGCTTAGCCTTGCCAGCCCACCAGCACCTGCTCTTGAAGATCCTTGTTGGTCTTCTCCTGCATTTCAAAATCTCTCCTTGGTACCACATCTCCAAAGTTGGCCTTCATGGTGTTGAGCTCCATCTGTATGCGGGTCAGGTCTTGCCGGGTCATCTTCAGAGCCAGTGTCAGCTTCACAGGGTCCTCCCCCCAGACGCCTGCCAGGGAGGCCAGCAGCCTATGTCAACCTGGCTCTGGAGCTTGTAGCCCAGCGCTGGGTTGAATAAGCTCTTGGGACACGCTCTCTGTGCTGAGTCTTCTCCACAGTACTACCAGCCTAGGCTTAAATAGAGAAGTCTAGGATATGTAATAACCACGTCAAAGAGGAGACAGTTCCTTCACCTTTCAGAAATGGTCCTGCTTAATGATCCTATGACTCTTAGTCCAGCTGAGAAGATCCCCAGCCCTGACTGGTGGCAGGGACATCTCCCACATGTGGGCACAGAATGAGTATTAGACATACTAAATGAGGCCGAGTTCTGGTTACTATAATCCTAGCTACACAGGAAGCTGAAATCTGAGGATCATGGTTCAAAGCCAGCCCAAGCAGGAAAGTCTGTGAGACTTTTATCTCCAACTAACCACTCAAAAACAGGAAGTGGTGCTGTGGCTCAAAAGTGATAGAGTGCTAGCCTTGAACAAAAGAACTCAAGGACATGGGCTGGGAAGGTGGCTCAGTGGTAGAGCGCTTGCCTTGCATGCATGAGGCCCTGGGTTCGATTCCTCAGCACCACATAAGCAAAAAGAAAAAAGCCAGAAGTGGCGCTGTGGCTCAAGTTGTAGAGTGCTAGCCTTGAGCTGAATAGCTGAGGGACAGCTCCTAGGCCCAGAGTTCAGGCCCCATGACTGAACCCCAGAAAAAAAAAGGAAATATTGAATAAACGGGGTCAATGATGAGAGTTGGACTTCTCTCCCATCCCTCAGAATAAGAGAAACTTGACTCTGGTTACCTGGAGACTGGGCTAGCGACATATCCTCCCGCTGGTACCGTAGCTCATTCAGGTCCCCAATGAGAATCTTTCGGGCATCTCTCTCACTGAGATAGTGCAAGTATTCTTCAGCTAAGCTCTTCCTCAGTTTGGATACCTGTTGCGAAGGTGGCTGTGTAGTTGGGGTCAGCTAGTCACTCCAGGGGTGGGATGAGGGCTGGGTGGTGCCCTTGGCTTAGTAACAGGAAAGGCAGAAGGAAAGTGGCCAGTCTTAGGAACCCAGCAAAGTGCCCAGGCTTTCCTCCGGGAATCTGCTAATACCAGGGCCACACTGAGTCTGTGCTGAGCCTCCCAAGCAGAGAAGAGGGTGATGGGAATATGAGCTCAGGGAGATGGAAGAGCTCTGTGTCATTCTAGGCAGAATGGAGAATGGAGTTAGGGGTTGCCTTAGTGCACAGGTGATCCCTGTGGTCACAGTGAAACAGGAATTCAGGAGCTGGCAGCATACCACTTTCATTTACCTCACTCTGCAATGAGATCTTCTCCTCATTCTTTTTGTCAATGAGTTTTAGCAAATTCATCTTCTCATTCTTCAATGTGGCGATTTCACTCTTCTCCTCAGCCCTCATAGCCAGGATCCTCTGGTTGCAGTCCTCATTCACAGTGACAAGCTTGGCCTTTAGGGGCTCTAGGGTCCGTATCTTGTCCCTTTGGTAGGCTAAGCAGGGATAAGTGGTAAAGTCCTTTTCCAGCCAGGGACAACAAACAGCCAGAAGACAGATGCTAAGGTTATGAGTGAATGGCTGTCAGTTATCAATTTCTTGTTCAAAGCCATGTCCCCTGCTTCAAGTCTTTCTGCACTTGTTTTGGGGGTCTGAAATCACAGCTATACCCTCACACTTATGCCTTTAGTCCTGAGCCCCAGCTTCTTCATACCTCCTGAACCTGCCAGGTGCTTATGCTCCTGGAATTGTTTCCTGTAAATACTACCTCTCTAGCTTTTACAATGGTGAGAGGGCATGGGGTACCCTGAGTGACCTTAAGGCCCAAGTTAGTAGCTGCCCCAGCTCTGCTATGGAGTCCCAGAAAAATCAGAAGAGACTCCTCTGTTGCCATTCCTATTTGGGCCCAGGAAAGAAGCTACCTTCTTACCCAGCATCAGCTCATATGCATTCTTGATGGAGGACAGCAATGGCTTATAGGTCTTGAAATCTTCTATGAAGAAGTCAAAGATTTCTCTGTAAGGCTGACCAGAAAAGGGAACCTGTCACCTCCTAGCCCATACCTGCCACCTTGAAGCTGTCAGGTAACCCATAGCAAAGGAATGCTCTGGGGATCACTTAGATATCATAGGTGCCATGGACTTTGGGGAGGGGGTTCTCTGAAGGGTTTCTGAGACCTGGAACACTATCATTGGCTAACTTTGCCACTGTCTGACCCTCTTCTCTGGCTGTATAAACAGCCAGCCTCTTGCTTTCTAGACCCCGTACCTCTCAGCAGCAGCACCCCCACTCCACTTCAAAGTCCCATGGGATCAGGAAATTGAAAATTCTAGCCTTGCATTCTGACCCTAAAGTAGAATTGTGGCCTCCTGTCTCCTTTGGACACAGGATGATTTTATCTTTTTTTCCTTTTGGAAGGGGTGCCTGGATATGGAGACTAGATTTGCATACACAAAAATCAGCAAGTGTTTGAGGCAGCATTGTTTGCTTCCCCAAAATTCAGCCCTATTACTTCCTACTGGACTGCCTTTAAGCTTCTGCTTCCTCACTGGTGAGGTATCTTCTGCTTGTAAGATTGTGCCCAGGGCCTGGCCCATGGACAGCTCAGTAAATGCTTCAGTCATGATCAGAAGTGAGAGATTCCCTGTTATCATCCTTGAGTCTCTCTCGGATAAACACCAGAATCTAGGATGCAGCTTCTTCCCTCCTTCTTTCCCTCCCTCCATTCTTCCCTACCTCCCTCCTTTCTTTCCTCCTTCTCTCTCCTCTTCTCTTTCCTTCCTTTGCCTCTGAACTGGTTCCTCAAGATTAGGGTTGTTATTACTAGGCTAGTGGGCTCTATTTGATTTTTGCTTTCCCAACTGCCAGATTCAGGCTCCATTTACTGATGTCTTTTTGTGTGTGCTTGCTGGTCCTGAGGCTTGAATTTAGGGGTTGGGTGCTGTCCTTGAAGTTTTGTTTTTTTTTTTTTTCTTTCCTCACAAGGTTAGTGCTCTATCACTTGAGCAGAGTTCCACTTCTGGCTTTTGGGGGTTACTTGGTGATAAGAATCTACTGGACTTTTCTACCAACGCTGAATTCAAACCACGATCCTCAGATCTTAGCCTCTTGAGTAGCTAGTATTACAGGTGTGATCCACAGGTACAAAGCTCTGATTCACTGATGTCTATGGAGCCAGCCTAGCAGCTGAAGGGACAGGAGAGAGCATCCAGTGTACATAATTTAGTGAAAAAAAAAACAAGATTCAGTATTTTTTTGTGGGGGAGGGAGTTGGTCGTGGGGTTTGAAGTTTGGGCCTGGGCACTGTCCCTGAGCTTTTTGGCTCAAGGCAAGTGCTACACCCCTTGAGCCACAGCACCACTTCTGGCTTTTTCTGTTTATGTGGTACTGAAAAATCAAACCCAGGGTTTCATGCATTCTAGGCAAGTAGTCTACCACTAAGCCACACATCCAGCCCTTTGGTAGTATTTTTGTTTGATTTTTGTGCTGGTACTGGGGCTTGAACTCAGGGCCTAGGTACTGTTCTTTAGCTTTTTTCAGTCAGGCATAGTGCTTTATCACTTAAGCCATATTCTACTTCTGGCTTTTTGCTGGCTATTTAGAGATAAGAATTTCATGGACTTTCTTGCCTAGGTTGGCTTTGAGTGATGATTCTCAGATCTCAGCCTCCTGAGTAGCTCAAACTTGGGAGCCATCTAAGACCTGGCTCACTGACCTTGTTATAGGATATGCTTTTCTTCAGGAGAGACCCAGATGAGCCAGATCCCTCAGAATGTCTAACCTGCTCAGTATCAGTGGGTGAGGTTTCTTCCTGCCCTCCCCCATATTTAATCTGTGACTCTGACCTGTAACCTCAGCTCCTGCGTGGAATCTGTGCCCAGGTCTAGCAGGAGAAGTTCTTTGCGTAGGTAGTTTTCTAGCTGCTCCAGGTACTTGGGTTTGGCTATGCCCAGGGGATGATGCTGCCAGCTATTGAAAAGAATGCAGGATGGGATGTCACCAGCACCCTTGGCCTGGGACATCACATACATCAACCCTATCTGCCTGGTATATCATTCACCATTAGACCAACCCTGTCTTACCTAGGTCGCTTCCGGTACTCATCGGAACAGGGCTTTTGATTCTGCAGAACAGTCTGGCCACTGGCGAATGTGGGCCATGGGGACAAGTGGCCACTCAGGGAGAACTGCCAGGGCTTCAAGGAGAGAATATGGTGTTACTATGGCAACATGACTCCCTCCTTCCTGATATTCCTACATCCTTCCTCCCACATTCCCATTTGTTTTCCCCACTACCATTCTCCTCTGATATTCTCTCTCTCTCTCTCTCTCTTTTTGGGGGGTCCAGTCATGGAGCCTGAACTCTGGGCCTGGTCCCTCAGCTCTTCTGCTCAAGGCTAGTGCTCTACCACTTGAGCCACAGCCCCACTTCTGGATTTTTTCTTTTTGCTTATGTGGTGCTGAGGAATCAAACCTAGGGCCTCATGCATGCAAGACAAGTGCTCTACCACTGAGCCACCTTCCCAGCCCCCTCTCTCAATCTTGACATGGTTTCTCACTATGTAGATTCTAGGTTGGCTTCAAACTTAAGATTCTCCCCTGAGGTTCTGGGATGACAGGATGACAGGTGTGTCTCATCAATCTTGGTTCATAATTAAGACTATGGTCCTTGAGTTAGGGCACATGGGTTAAAGCTCTTATCTCCCTTACTAACTGTGTGGTCATGGGTTTACTTCTCTGAGCCTCAGTCTCTGTATCCACCATCATGGAGCTAATGGTGGTCACCACTTTCCTATACTGAGGTGAGGTGCCATGACACTATGGCTCCTGCTTGGAACTCAATAAAAGTGAGCTATTCTCTTCTGTATTAAGTCAGTGAGTATTGAATACCTGTGCTGTGAAAACAGATATGAGTTACCAGAGAGCCTGGCCCTGGCCCCATGAAATAGTATGGCTAAAAACAGAGAGGAAGGCAGGCCCAGCCTCAAGCCTGGACTTACAAGACAGATGCAGACATGCAGCAGAGGGTGCTGTAAATCTTGAGAGAAGATTGGGCTATGCCACTGGGGGCAAAGGGAAGCAGGTGAGGAACCCCAGAAATGGAATTCATTTGGAACCTTGAGCAGGGGCAGGGGGCATGTAGTAATCTTTTCATGAAGTGCTCATGGCAGGGAGGCCAAATATAACCCTCTGGTCCAGAGCAGCCTTCTAAGTTTTATGTCTTTTTTTTTTTTTTGTGGTGGTGCCCCAGGGCCTCAAGTATGGTAGGTAAGCACTGTACTACTGTATACTGTATCACTTAACTACCTAGGGTTTTATTCAATCCAATCATTCACTTGTTCATCAAGCTCATCTGGGTCCTAGTGCTTATCAGATCCTTCTGGATTCTAAGGACATGTGGGAAGCTGGGGACAATGGGCATGAATTGATGATCACAAGTCAACATGAAATGAGTGAAGCCAGTGCAGGTTCATGGAGGTTGGGAGGCCCTCACTGGGATAGGCCAGGAAAGGTTGGTTCTGTAAGCGGTGGATAATGAGGCTAATGCAGCTGAAATAAAAGCAAGGGAGTAGGTGAGATCACTTAGGCAGTCTATAAGTGGTAGAAAGACACAAAGAATGCTTGGGTAGCATAAAGACTCCAGGATATAGATTTGAAGAGCTGTGAATTGGGGCTGACACCCAGGAAGAGCAGGTTGTCTGAGGTTCTGGTTTAGGCTAAGGCCTGGAACAAAGAGCCCAGGCAGCTACCCCAGAAGGAGTCAGAGCTGGAACAGCAGCAGTGTTGCTTTATTTCCTCCTCCTTCTCCTCCTCGTTTTCTTCTTCTTCTTCTTCTCCTCCTCCTCCTTCTTCTTCCTCTTTTGTGCCAGTATTAGGGTTTGAACTCAAGACTTGGGCACTGTTCCTGAGGTTTTCTGCTCAAGGCTAGCACCCTACCACTTGAGCCACACCTCCACTTCTGGCTTTTTGTTGATTAATTGGAGATGAGTCTGTCAGATTTGTCTGCCTGGACTAGCTTGCAATGGCAATCCTCTTGAGTAAAGATTACAGGCATGAGCCACTGGTGCCCAGCTAGCAGTAGCATTTCTAACAAGGGAAGTCCTCAAAGTCATACCATGCCTCTGGAAAAATTAGAAAATTTCTAAATGTTTAAGAACAGAACAGTGAGCTGAGTGCTGGTGGCTCATGCCTGTAATCCTAGCTACTCAGGAGGCTGAGATCTGAGGATTGTGGTTCAAAGCCAGCCTGGGCAGGAAAGTCTGTGAGACTCTTATCTCCAATAAACCACTAGAAAACCAGAAGTGGCATTGTAGCTCAAGAGGTAGAGCCCTCGGCTTGAGCTGAAGAGCTGAGGGATAGCACCCAGGCCCAGAGTTCAAGCCCCACGACAGACAAAAAAACAAAAAAAACAAAAAAAACAGAACAGTGTTATTCAGCCATGAAATAGTTACAAAGAAGCTCAAAATAAAAATACACTAACAGAAAAAAAAAAATACACTAACAGGGGCTGGGAAGGTGGCTCAGTGGTAGAGTGCTTGCCTTGCATTCATGAGGCCTTGAGTTTGATTGCTCAGCACCACATAAGCAGAAAAAGCTGGAAGTGGCACTGTGGCTCAAGTGGTAGAGTACTAGCCTTGAGCAGAAGGGCTGAGGGACAGCGCCCAGGCCTAGAGTTCAAGCCCCACAAGCAACAACAACAATAAAAAAATACATTAATGATATACCTATAAGAGTTAGACTTCTAAAAAAAATTTAAAGAAAGAGTTAAAGACTAAAATTAAGGAAGGAATATGGCAAGAAATGAAAAACAAGAAAAAATCATGGGCTGGGAAGGTGGCTCAGTGGTAGAGCGCTTGCCTTGCATGCCTGAGGCCCTGGGTTCAATTCCTCAGCACCACATAAGCAGAAAAAAAAAGCCGGAAGTGGCGCTGTGGCTCAAGTGGTAGAGCGCTAGCCTTGAGCTGAAGAGCTGAGGGACAGCGCCCAGGCCCAGAGTTCAGGCCCCACAACCGGAGCCCCCCCCCCAAAAAAAAAAAAAGAAAAAAGAAAAAAGTTATCAGAGATTATTATTCCCTAATGATAGGATCATGTATTATTACTTTTGTATAATTGCACATTTTCTACAATGAGCAAAGGACACCTTCAGATTGAAAAGAAAATTGAATTATTGAAAAAGTCTCATTTGTGCTCTGACCTCAACCTCCCATTCTCAGGAATGGAGAAACCAGGATGCCTGCCTGCCCCGGGTTCTTGTTCAGGCGAATGGTAAAAAGCTCTTCCAGTCTAATGGCAACTGGCTCTTAATGTGGAAAATGCCATCATTTTCTCAGACTGTTCTTGGCATGACTTTTTCTACTGCATCCTGCTAGTTTTGTACATGTTTTAACTCAATCGTGGGATCATTCATTACTTGTGAGATATTTATGGAAGGTACATATTTAGCTTAGTTGCTTGGCCCAGGGAAAACACCAGCCTTTTGAAAGGGCTCTGGGTTGACCTATCTCTGTACCTGTAGAATTTTTTTTTTTTTTTGTCGGTTCTGGGGCTTGAACTCTGGGCTTGGGCGCTGTCCCTCAGCTCTCCAGCTCAAGGCCAGTGCTCTACCGCTTGAGCCACAGTGCCACTTCCAGTTTTCTAGTGGAAATAAGAGTCTCACGGAGTTTTCTACCCGGGCTAGCTTTGAACCGTGATCCTCATATCTCAGCTTCCTGAGTAGCTAGGATTACAGGCATGAGCCACCAGTGCCCAGCTTGTACCTCCAGGATTGATGGCATCATATTTGGCACTCTTTATAGTCTCAGGTAGCACTCAATAAGTACTGTAGAATAAATAAGCTAGGTGTCAGTGAGTGACTCATGCCTGTGATCCTAGCTACTCAAGAGGCTGAGATATGAGGATCACAGTTCAAAGCCAGCCTGGCAGGAAAGTCTGTGGACTCTCATCTCCAAAAAACTTACTGCCACCACCCCTAGCCCCACAATAAAAAGGCCAAAATGGCACTGTGGTTCCAAGTGGTAGAGTGCTAGCCTTGAGCAAAAGCTCAGGGACAGTGTCCAGGTTCTAAGTTCAAGCTCCAGGGCTTGCATGCGTGCGCAAAAGAAGAAAGAAAGAAAGAAGGAAAGACAGAAAGGAAGGAAGGAAGGAAGGAAGGAAAACAGAAAAAAAGAAAAGAAAATATAGAGCTGGGCACTGACAGTCCACACCTGTAATCTTAGTTACTCAGGAGGCTGATATCTGAGAATTGCAGTTCAAAGCCAACCTGGGCAGGGAAGTCGAGACTTATCTCCAATGTAGTTACAACATAGCCGGTAGTGGAGCTGTGGCACAAATGATACAGCACTAGCCTTGAGCATAAAAACTCAGGGATAGCACTCAGACCCTGAGTTCAAGCCTCAGGACCAGCACAAAAAAGAAAAGAAAAATACAGGTGGGAAAAAAGATGAAAGAATTAGGCTGGGTGTTGGTGGCTCATGCCTGTAATCCTACTCAGGAGGCTGAGATCTGAGGACCGCAGTTCAAAGCCAGCTCAGGCAGAAAAAGCTCAGGCAGAAAAGTCCGTGAGACTCTTATCTCCAGAAAAACATTCAGAAAACTGGAAGTGGCGCTGTGGCTCAAGTGGTAGAGCGCTTGTCTTGAGCTGAAGAGCTGAGGGACAGCGCCCAGGCCCAGAGTTCAAGCCCCACGACCGACAAAAAAAAAAGATGAAAGAATTAGAGTTTAATACCCTCCTATCAAGATAAGCTACACCAAGTAGAGAAAGATGAAGAACGCTAATTTCAAGGGTAACATAATTGATGACAGGTGAACAGATTTATAACCAGATTGGATGGGTTGTGCCCTGTGCAGCCCCCTGCAGGTGAAAATGCAAAGGCAGCCACAGGGTGATGGCAGGAGAAACAGTGGCCCCTAGTGGTTAACCATGGCCATGCAGAAAAAGCCCAAATGAACCTGGCTGCAGGATCACAGAATTATGTGACCCCTGATGGGAGCAAGGAGTTGGACAGAGCCTGCCCTGCCAGGATGTGTTTCTACGGAGAATACATATTATTCTCTGGACAAGAAGTTTCCGTCCTCACCAAGTATATTATGACCCAATGTTCCCAACTTCACAAGAAACACACATCAGGAAAACCATCACATTGTCTATAGTGTTTCCACAGTAAATTGGAATTATAAATTTACTCAACTGTGTTTATTTTTGTTTTTCCTCTAAGATTTGGAAAGTATTTGTGGATTGGACTGTAGCAATCATAGCAACAAAGTGTGTGTGTGGGGGGGGTTGTAGCTCAGTGCTAAGTACTTGTGTACAGAGTGAGGCACTCTGATTCCTAGTATCAAAACAAAGAAAATCAAAACAAAAAGCAGGCTAGTGACAGGCTAGTCAAGTGGTTAGTGCCTGCCTAGTAAGCACAAAGCCCTGACTTCAAATCCCAGTACCACCCAAACAAACAAAACCCCACCAAAACAAAATATACTAAAAGTACTTAGAAGATAGTGCAATAGCTTTCTTTCTTGGGGGAAGAAAATGAAGTTGAGATAAGGTCTGGTTATGTAGCCTTGGCTAATCTTGAATTCTAGAGATATTTGTGCTTCAGCCTTCTGAGTTCTGAGGTTATAAGCACATAGCAACCTACCTCTGTGACAGTACTATTTTTATACAAAAATCTTAAGAGTGTGAATGGAGGAGGAACTCAGGGCAAACAACACAATAAAGAAATATCCCCTTCCTCTGCTTTCATACCCCTGCTTATTATGGTGCTTTTGACATGTATCAGTCTCAGCCAGGCACCTCTGGCTGACACTTAGCTCCTTAGGAGGTTGAAATCAGTGCCCCAAACAAAACATGTCAGCCACTGAAGGACCCTATTAGACATTACGGTCACAAAGAAAAAAAAGGTATAGTCACAGAATTGAAGGAACTTGGCAAAGCTGGTGTGATCATCCCAGCATCTACCACAGTGCCCACCATATGCCTGGCTGGATGAAGAAATGAAGTCCATTTCAGAATGATGAGGTGTAGTGAAGGGGGGTCTGAGGACAGCAGCTGTGTGTCTCTGCCTGAGGAGATCTGTGAAGGCTTTTTTGGAAACTAGTGTGCACTCCCTCTTCCCCAAAGCCTAGTAGGTACCTGTGAACTATATGCCCCTGATTGGGAAGAAGCCTCTTTGGTCAATTCAGGTAAATGGTTTTTTAGGGTTACAGACAGGGAAACAATTCCCAGAGCCTAATGTAGGGTTCCAAAAGGCGATTGTTACTAACCAGTGCCTTCCATTTCTGAGAATAATTACGTTTCTGGATAAATTTTGAGTCTCCATAAGGGGATTCATCATCTGAAGTGCCTTTTGAAGGTCTTGACTGTGATCTGCACAGAAAAGGAGAAACTGGTCATGCGTGACAGAGCCCAGAATAGGGAGAGCCTTTTCAACGATTGCAAAATCCAAAAGGCATGGCCTCTGTTCTCCTCAGGGTCAGGCTCTGGGTCTTCCCAGCACTGCTTCCAGATTCCCAGAGATGTTACCCAGCAAGCCCCTGGCTCTGAGCCCAATCCAATTTCATACATTCCCAGAAGCATTCTTCTCATCACATTAGTCTCACCAACTCCTACAGTAGCAGGAACCCAGAGAGTCCAGGCACTAGTGGCTCTCCCCTGTAATCTCGCCACTTAGGAGACTGAGATTTGAGGACCAATCATGGCTTGAAGACAGCATGGGCAGGAAAATCTTAAAGAGGGGCTGGGAATGTGGCTTAGTAGCAGAGTGATTGTCTAGCATGCATGAAACCCTGGGTTTGATTCCTCAGCACCACATAAACAGTAAAAGCCAGAGGTGGCAATGTGGTTTAAGTAGTTGTGCTAGCCTTGATCAAAAGAAGCTCAGAGACAGTGTTCAAGCCCTGAGTTCAAGCCCCAGGATTGGCAACAACAACAACAATCGTAAAGATTTTTCTTTTTTCTTCTTTTTTGCTGGTTATAGTGTTGTCCCTGAGCTCTTCAGCTCAACGCTAGCTCTACCACTTGGGCTACAGTGCCACTTCTGGTTTTCTGGTGGTTTATTGGAGATAAGAGTCTGCCTTGGCTGGCTTTGTACCACGATCCTCGGATCTCAGCCTCCCAAGTAGCTAGGATTACAGGATTGAGCTATCTATGCCAGACAATCTTAAAGATTCTTATCTCCAATTAGCCAACACACACAAAAAAAGAGAAGGAAATGGCTTAAGTGGTAGAGCACCAGCCTGAAGCAAAAGGGCTAAGCAGGAGGACCTGAGTTCAAGCCCCAGTGCAGGCAACCAACCAGACAGGTAAATTTTTTGCCCCTGATGGCTTTGAACCTTGAGCCTCAGCTCTCGGCCTCTTGAGTAGCTAGGATTATAGCCACTGAGCTCAAGCCTGGCCTTTTTTTTTGCTTTTGTGCTTGAACTTGGGGCCTGGTTGCTGTCCCTGAGTGAGCTCTTGTCCTCAAAGCTAGCACTCTACCATCAGCTACAGCTGCACTTCCGTTTTTTTGTTAGTTAATTGGAGATAAGAGTTCCTGCCCAGGCTGGCTTTGAACTGCAATCCTCAGATCTCAGCCTCCTGAGTAGCTAGGATTACAGGCATGAGTCACCAGTGTCTGGCGAGCCTGCCCTTTTGCTAGCACGTAACTCCATCCTCACTGGACTGACAACTGGGATTCTGATTCTGCATCACTGATTCTGTGGGATTGGAGCCTCAACACAAAGAACTGGAGGCCAATGAGCAGTGCAGAGATACTGACCAGGTGTCATCTCCCTTTCTGAAAGCGTACTTAAGCCCTTCTCTCCTCCCTCAGTTTTATCAACGCCTACCGCGGCTTGGAGAAGCTGTACAGACGCTGCTGCGCGTTATCCATGACCCTCTGGCAGGCAGGCGGCCAGCACTCGCAGAATGGGAAGCTGAGATAGTGTACAGCCTGTCGCCTTGGCAACTAAACTCCCAGCTACTCCTGCGGTGAAGGCGGGACCAGGGTTGTGCCACGCCCCTAGCCCCTCGCCTGCAGGCTGGGAAGAAGCCAAGTAGCAAAGATGTAGTGAAACACAGGAGCGGGATGCCCCGAGAGCCATTCTCTGCCGCAGATTTGGCATTAGCTTCAGAAATGAAGCAGGGGGATAAACTGAGGCCATGGAGGAGGGAGGTGAGCAGAGAATCCGGGGCCGTTTTGTCGGCGGGAGTTGTAGTTTTCGGTGTCTGAGAGTCTCCGCTGGATAGGCTTAGTGGCTAGTGGCTGTGAACTACATCTCCCGACGTGCCTTGCGGGTTGTCGTCGGTCCGCCTCTGGGGAGCTCTGCATTGTGGGATATTGAGTCTAAAATGTGGCAAGCTCAGCAATGTCCAAAGCGAGGTGCTGGACTCGGACTCGGTTTCCCTGCGGCCCCGGGAGGCTCGCGGGCCATTGGCTGAGTGGGGCGGATCTGGTCGCGCTCCTCCCCGCCCCCAGTGACACAATAGCAGCTCCCACCAAGATGGCGGCGGCGACGGCGGACCCGGGAGCAGGGAGCCCGCAGGCTGGGGACTCCTCCAGCGGGGGGGCTGGGGGCGGGCTGCCGTCCCCCGGGGATCAGGAGCTGAGCCGGCGCCTGCAGCGCCTGTACCCCGCGGTCAACCAGCACGAGACGCCATTGCCGCGTTCCTGGAGCCCCAAGGACAAGTACAACTACATCGGCCTCTCTCAGGGCAACCTCCGTGTCCACTACAAAGGTATCGACCCGTCTGGCCGCTGGGGGGACAAGTCCAGAGCGTCTGCTATGTTGTTTGGCCCCATTCCATCGCGTCCCTTGCCTTGTCTGAGTTTTCCGGTTTAGGCCTTAGCCCCCCTGTGAAGTGTTTAGAGTGGTGGAGCTGACCAGGCCGAGGGTTGACTGCCTTGCTTTGCCCTTCCCTGAGACACCCAATGGTCAGGAGAACTCCAACAGGTGTCCAAACTCTGTGCTGAGCTAACCCTTCTACTGTAGAGCCCCTCTGGGCTGGCTCTTTACCTCTGCTTAGTTTCAGGGATGTCTGCAAAAAGAGGTGATAACATCTTCCCACCATTAGTAAGACGTGAATGGACTGTCCTGCCTCCTAGTCATCCTATACTGGGCTGGGGTCGTGTGCTAAAGTTGTTGTTGAGAGTGTTATCCATGTTTGCCTCCCCCTTTCCCTGATCTCTCAGGTGGGCTGCCTGGGTTCTGAGGAGTCTGCCAGGAATGCTCAGTATCTTTTGCAAGCCCCCACTTTGCCTATACCCTGTTTTGTGATTATGAAGGGCAGTGGCTCAGGGAGGGCTATCTCAAGAGGAGGTGAGCCAGATGGGGGAGTTCTATGTGTTTACTCAGTTGTCCATTTATTCCTTGAGCTATAAGTGCTTAACCAAGGGAGGATGAAGTTGCCATGGAGCGGAGAAGAAAGAGGTTTCCATTTGCATTTACTTCTGCCGAAATTTGTTTCTTGTCCTTTCCCATTAGGTCATGGCAAAAATCACAAAGATGCAGCCTCAGTTCGAGCCACTCACCCCATACCCGCTGCCTGTGGTATTTATTACTTTGAGGTGAAGATCATCAGCAAAGGAAGAGATGGGTAAGCCCCTTTTTACTACCCTCTTTTCCCCACTCCCACACTGAGCTGTTCCCTGTGGTGAGAGTTTGAGGCTGCCTGTGATTGATATAACTCCTCTTTAAGGAGGGATATAGCTTGGTCTAAGCATTGGGCCTTGATAGAAAGTAGACACATTGTGGATAAATCAGGGACCCTTTTTTTTTTTAGTGATGTAAACAAATACTTCACAGATCAGAAACACAGATAACAGGTTTACATTATTAATTCAGTGTACAGAATGGGATTTCCCCTACTAGCCTGTGCTGTTCAAGACTTCCCCTTTTTTATACTCAAGGTCCTTTTTATGGCATTTAGTCATATAGAGTCTCTAGTAGGCTTCAAAGGGATAGTAGAATCTTTGCAGCATTCATCAAAGCTCTAGTGGCCACTGTCATCTCGGTAAACAACATAACATGGTCAGAATCAAGTGACCTTGTTGCTTATAAACTTGTTTTTCAGTCCAGGGACTTGAACACCAGTCTGACCAGCTTTTAGAAGGTCCTTATTAAAGTCAGCATAAGGGCAACGCCCTTCTTGAGGGTTATGTAAACAGACACTAAACATCAGAGTGAACATTTTTCACTCTCTTTTCCTTTTTTCTTCCAGTCATCCCTTTTTTCCAGTGATTGCAACAAAGGATGTGTTTAAGATATGAAATACCATGACTGTAACTGCTTTGGCAAAAGCTTTCTTCATTATATTTTAGGTATGGTATGAAAAGTTTGGCCATACTCAGTTCTTCTTTGATCTGAGTGTGTGTTTTTTAAGAATTTTGAGGAGTTTTTCTCTCCTAGGGACTGCTCCTCTTACAGTGTATGCAAAATACCTGATAAAGGGGTTGAACTTGGAGCAGAACTGCCAGAATCAGAAACTTCCCTGCCTTCTTTGTGTTGTTTTAACTCCTTTGCCTGGTAGGGCTCTGTGGGCTTGAGTACATCTTGTTTCTTCATCTGTACTGACAGCTGCTAGGGCCAACATCTAAGCTGCCATTAACCCTAGAATGTGATGAGTCTGAACTTCTTTTTTTTGTGTGTATGTGTGCTGGTCCCAGGGCTTGAACTCAGGTCATGGCTCTGTCCTGAGTTTTGTTTTGTTTTGTTTTTCTTTGTTGGTCATGGGACTTGAACTTTGCCTGGGCACTACCCCAGAGCTTTTTTTGTTGTTGTTGTTGGTCATGGGGCTTGAACTCAGAGCCTGGAGCTGTCCTTGAGTTCTTTTGCTCAAGGATAGGGATCTACCATTTTGAGCCACAGTGCCACTTAATGGCTTTTGTGTGTGTGCTTAATTGGAGATTAGAGTCTCACAGACTTTCCTGCCATGGCTGGCTATGAACCGCGATTCTCAGGTCTCAGCCTCCTGAGTAGCTAGGAACCAGTGCCCAGCACCTGAGCACTTTTGTCCAAGGCTAGTGCTCTACCACTTTGAGTCACAGGGCCACTTCCAGTTTTCTGGTGATTAATTGAAGATAAGAGTCTCATGGGCTTGCCCAGGCTGGCTTTGAATAGCAATCCTCAGATCTCCACCTCTTGAGTAGCTAGGATTACAGGTGTGAGCCTTTGTGCCTGGCTTATGATTCTGAAATTCTAATTGTGGAAAGCTGTTATATCTTTTACTTTCATCCCTATATAGTTCCTTTACAGACAGGATACATATTTAAGTTTCAGATAGGACTTTAAAGACTTAATAGTCCCTTTCTATGATATGATAGAAGAATATAATTTACTTGAGCTAGTGTAAATGAGAATGACTTCTTAAGGGCTAGGAAGGTGGCTCAGTGGTAGAGCGCTTGCCGTGCATGCATGAGGCCCTGGGTTCGATTCCTTGGCACTACATAAACAGAAAAAGCTGGAAATGGTGCTATGGCTCAAGTGGTAGGGTGCTAGCTTTGTGCTGAAGAGCTGAGGGACAGTGCCCAGGCCCAGAGCTCAAGCCCCATGACTGACAAAGTACAAAAAAACAAAAACAAAAAACCCCAAACACTCTATAATAGTTAGAAAGTTGGCCCAGATGTTGGTGCTCGAATCTCATATTGGTAAGAAAGCTGAGGGGCATTTCTTAAATGAGTAGGGAAGAAAATGGAGGTTTTCGTTATAAGTCTATATATATATATATATCAGCTGAGCTATTTAGAGACAAGAACAACTTTTCACAAGAGGAGTGTTTAAGAGCTCTGTATTTCTTTAACTGGCTTTTAATATTTAAGTGGATCTATCTGTGTCATGTTAGGTTGTCTGTATGTCTACAATGGCCTGCTTCAGCTGACCAGATAGTGAGTGTATTAATGGTTCTTCATGGCCACTTTATGGAATCTCTGAAAGCCTTTTCATGGTTAACATGTAGCCAGATGTTGATATGGGTCAGGGGTGTTTTTGTTGTTGTTGTTGTTTTATTTGTGCTGGTCCTGGGGCTTGAATTCAAGGCTTGGGTGCTATCTCTGTGCTCTTTTTGTTCAAGGCTAGTGCTCTACCATTTGAATCACAGCTCTACTTCTGGCTTTCTTGGGTGATCAGTTGGAGATAGGGGTCTCATGGACATTTCTACCAGGCCTAGCTTCCAACCGTGAGCCTCATATCTCAGCCTCCTGAGTAGCTAGGATTATAGACATGAGCCACTGGCACCAACTCAAGGGTGGTTCCCCCCTCCCCCCTTTTCACTTCTGGCTTTTTCTGTTAATGTGTTACTGAAGAATCGAACCCAGGGTTTCGAGCATGCTAGGCAAGCACTCTATCACTAAGCTACATTCCCAGCCCTGTCAAGGGTGGTTTTGAGGAAGCCAAAAGCAGTTACAGGCATTGACTGACTTGTTTCCTCTTTCCTGCCAGTGTTAAAATATATTTCTGACCCCAGTTTTGTTGATGATCCAAAGATTAATTGGTTCTGTAGTTTTCCTGTGTTGTCTCATTTAGCCTTACAGCATCTCTAGAAAATGGTTGGAATAAATGATGATGTACCTGTTTCGTGGGAGTGGCCTGAGTCTCTGAGATATTTGGTGGCCTGCTCTGGCTTCAGGGCTTAAAATGTTCAGTGGAATAGCTTAACCTACCCTATGTTCTTGCTTGATCCCAGATATATGTGTATATGCTGCTATTACTTTTCTCCATTGTGGCTACTATTGTATTCTTTTTCTGGGTTAAAGAAGGAACATCTTAGGTTCTTATAGGATCATAGTGTTAGGGGATAGAGCAGAAAGGGGTTCAGTGGGACTAGAGTGGGACTAGAGAAGTATGACAGTTATGTGCTGGGCTTGATCAATATATTTATTCATTGAATTTAAAGGGTTTTTGTTGTTGTTGTTGGTCATGGGGCTTGAACTCTGGGCCTAGGCAGTGTCTCTCAGTTCTTCAGCTCAAGGCTAGAGCTTTATCACTTGAGCCATAGTTACACTTCTGCTTTTCTGAGTGGTTTATTGGAGATAAGAGTCTCAGACTTTCCTGCCCGAGTTGGCTTTGAACCGAGATCCTCAGATCTCAGTCTCCTGAGTAGCTGGGATTATAGGCATGAACCACTGGTGCCCAGCTGAATATGTAGTTTTTCTGTAGATTGGTATATATCACCTTTGTAGAAGGTATTTATGAATCCACTTTTAGTGTTGTAGTTCTCCAGAAATGCCCCTGTTCTCACAACATCTTTTGTAGAAGAACACACTAAGCTACTCTGATCAGAAAGGTTTTATTTCAAGAGTTTATAGAGTATTTAGTTGTCCTTTCTTTGTTCCAGGCTGTGTGCCAGGTGCAGGAAAACAGAAGTCAAGCCAGCATAGGCCAGCCTTGTCCTCAGGGAGCCTGTGGCCTACTCAGTAACTGAGAATGGACCGAAAGGCTCTTTACAAGAGGAGGCAAAGCCTGAGCTTGCTTATGAGGAATGAGTAGGAGTTTCTTAGCAGATGGAACCTGTGGACTTATCAGTCTGAGGGGTAATTAGCTTCATGTCAGGGTGTTGGGCTTTTGGGTCTCTGCCCACGTGTTTGGGAGAACTCTGAAGGAGGGGCCATGTTTGAGCTCAGAGCTTGGCACAGACTTACTGCCTTCAGCTGTTTTTTGCCAAGTCACCAGAGCTATGAACCTTGGGAACAGGTCTGGTGGGGTGAGATGTGTGATTACTGTCAGTGGTGCCAGAAGGTAAGGGGTGATCTTTCCAAGAAACCAAGCAGGCTCTGAAGCTGAGGGTCTTTAGAGTAAGAGCAGCTTCCTCAGTCAGAATTCATGGACCTGTGAGTGTCCTGGCTCTTAGTGATGACACATGAAGGGTGTGGTTGGCCCAGCTGACAGATGCTCCAGTGTGACCCTCAAAATAGACTGTAATATCATCCCAGTGGCGGAGGCCTCCTGACATGTGATGAGTGGCTCTACCCAAGAACAGCAAGCCTAGACTAGAGTATTGGATGGTGTGGGGAGGGGTGGGGATTGTTCTTTGCAGCTAAGCCCTGAGCAGGAATCTCTGGCCATAGCCAACCAGCTCTTATTTGCTCCTGCTGCTGATTTCCTTTGGTCAGGCAGCGATGCCACCTATCCATTCATACTATATATCAGAATCAACATACATTATTTCGTCTTAGGTTGGGCTCCAAGAACAGACTTGATGCTGGTCTAGAGAGAAGAGAGATAAGCCTTTACTGGTAACCTCATAGGGGATCTAGCAAGGATCAGCCTCTGGTTCCTTTGCAGGGTAGCCCATAGCATAGACTTCCTTCTATACCCCCCAAGTTTGGGGAAAACATCATAGAAGAATTAGTGATGCTGAATAGAAAGAGAGTGTTTGAGATGACAAAGTGAGAAACAAATGCTTTCAGGCAGAAGATGGTGTTAAACATCCTGTGAAGGCACAGCTGGTCATGGCGGCACACCTGTAGTTCTGACTGCTCAGAACAGGAGTATCAGGTAAATCCAAGATTTTTGGGCTAGCCTAGGAAACAGTGAGACCCTGTCTCAAAAATATAATAATAGCACAAGGCCCTGAATTAAATCCCCAGGTCCCCTATCCCC